TATACACACATATACATACACACATACATGCATACATACATACACACAACTTCAAAATAACATAAATTCTCAACCTGTACTGAAAACAATTTCAGCGTCTCAGCGTCACCAGCTGGTGAGAGGTGGTGATGTCAATTTGAACCTCGCCCACTGGAACCGGTACTGAAAGCGTAATGAAAACACAACCTGTACCGTACCGAGTAGAGTAGAGCCGTGCTGTACAGGTACTACAGGTACTAATGGAAAAGGGGCATAAGTGGACCGGGGGTTTGAGCTGGTGTTGAAAGAAGCGTGCTAATTCTGGTCAACAAACATACATCTTCCCTCATCCATCTTTCTTTAAACTTCTCCATTCCTTCCTTTAATTTTTTCTATTTTGCCAGTAATCTAGATGCCTTCAGAAAGGTTCTGTTGTCTTGTTAGTAAAGCGAGCCAAGTTTTTATTAATCAGAACCAGATCAGCAAATCAATGTGTACATGTTTTGATGTTAAATTTTGATTCTGTTAAATAAATGACCGCATTTATTCTGATGGGTCAAAGAAAAATGGCGTCTCATGTCACTGATTAAACAATCCTCACAGTTATCTCGGTCACATGGCATTAGTTTAACTCGAAAAAGAAAGAATCCGTTGTATTTAAGTAATTAATATTCTTTGTGCTTGAACTAGCTTTAAGAATAATTAATTAGTAGTGAAGCTACAGCAAAGCTGTTCCCCACATTCACTACAGCACTAACACGTCACACAAGACCTCACACTCTCACATGAAATATCACTTAACGTCATTTCCAAAGTTTAACATTAACAACTACAACGCTGTCATTCTTCATACATTCATCTTATTCTAAAACACAGGCATAACAGGCAGCGGGCGATATGCATTCCTGTAACAAATGCCAGCCCTTTATTTACTTATGTTGCATTTAACAAGATTGTTATTTAATGTTTGCCGGGGTTAGGTTTTTTTTTACAAAATAAAGGTGACTTTATTTTTTTTAAAGGCACACACAAAAATATATTTAAACTGCAGTTTTCTACTTTAAGCCAAACGTCAAATCTTCGCACATCAACTGCACAAAATCTTTAAGTTTTCCTTGACCGGCAGCTTTTGTTAGCAGCAAAATATTTCCTCAGATCAAACTGTTTGTCTAAACATAACTTGAATGATTCATCGTTCATAAACAATACATTTTACTGATTGAGCAGCAACTTAACCATCAGTTTGTGGCTGTCAGGGTTAGAAGAGGACCACATGTCAAGCCTCAGATGTAACTGCACATTTGAAGCAAGAAACAAGCAAAACAGAAGCTTTGCAAACAAAACAGAGCTTGAGACGGTTTAATGAAAGCATGATCCACGTGTGTGACGTGTTGGAGGGTTGTTTGGGGTGGGAGCGGTGTGACAAAATTGCAGGTCTCCTGGGGATGGTCCTGTTCTGTGTTTCTGTAATTACCATAACGTCTGTGTAAACACTGTCCGTGTTGATGCTAACGTACGATACGATATCATGTGAGTTGACTTTGACCACACGAGCTCATAATCAGATACAGGAAACCATCGGCGCTTTATACGACTCAGAAACAATTTAACGGGTCAGTTCACAAAAATCACTCCACTAACCTTCAGTTTCTGTCAGTTTTCTACCAGAAACCTGAGACGATTTAAGAGAATTAGTTTCAGAACTAATGGTTTTCCCTCAGCGGGACTGAAGTCGCTGAACTTGATGTCAGCAGGTAATGTTTAGTGTTAGCATGTGAAGAGAGAAGTAGTCATAAAAAAGATATTTAAACTGGGGGTTAGTCGTGTCATCCAAATACTACACATGAACTTTAAAGGTTGGCCTGAGGACAAAAATCAGGACATCATCAACATAAAGTGTTCATCTGCTGAAAGGGAGTCTCTGAAAAGATATGTGAAGTTTGAAACAGATGGACAAATAAAATTTATAAACTAAAACACCATGAAGCCCTTTCACATTGATCATGCTATCATGTAACATAGTGTCCTTCAGAGGAATTTCAAATATTTGTATCAGTAGTTTTAGAGATGAGTGTTTTCCTGGACTGGATTTTGACATGGCAAACCAATTTCTGATAGGGACCTTACTTACAACTAGATGCAGCCACACACCAAAATTGGAAGTCGCCGTTTTACTTTTTTTTTCATCTCACAAGACTTACACATACATACATATATGGTGGCAGCCATCTTGGATCTTGACATGACAACCCAGTTTTGGAAAGGAACCTTTCATAAGCCTAGATGTAGCGGCACATTAAAATGTAAGTTGGTACCTGACTTATTATTATTTTCACAATACTATGCTCACAACATGAATGGAGATTTATGGCAGCCATCTTGGGATTTAGACTTGGCAACCACATATTTGAAAAGAATCTTTCTTATGTCTAGATGCAGCTCCACACCAGAATGTAGCTTACTGCTAGTATCTAGGGCTGAACAATTAATTGCATTTGCAATAATATCACAATATGATAAAACAAGATTTTCTAATCACAAAGGCTGCAATTTGACTGGTCACGTGATCTGGTTACGTGACTTGTGATGTTGCAAGTGAGCAGAGTGGAGCAAAGCAGGGAGCAGGAGAAGTCCACACTGTGTTTTAACTGACTGCACAATGGCATCAGGCTCGACAGAAGCTGACACATCTGAAAGCTTGGTACCAAACTTGGGGGGCCAAGATGGTGTAAGGACAGGGCAGCCGACCCAGGACCCCAAGGTCCCGGGCTCAATCCCCAGTCATTGCACATCTTGTGGTGTCTCTGAGCAGGACACCCTATCCCCAGTTGCTCCCTGGGTGCTTTCAATAGCTGCCCACTACTCCACCTGGGGGTGGATGGGTTAAATACAGAGAGCCAATTTCATCATTGTATGGGAACATACAATGATGACAATACATACATATTATTAATATTTACATACATATTATTATTATTATTAAAGAGGGGTAGCACATCTGTTGTTGGAATTATTTTGGCTATAAAAAAAGAAGACACTGTGCAATGACAAGTGTTGTGCAGAACCTGCCTTGCTGTTGTTGCTACCTCTCGAGGTAACTCCACAAATCTTCATCAACACTTAAAAAAACACTACAAAGCCATTTACAATATTTGCATGGCTAGAATGCCAACGACCAGTGCTTCAACTTCAAGTAAGCAAAATACTAGCTGACAGGGATCACTGACTGAAGTGTTTGAAGGCATTACTCTGTATGAACATAATTTGAAGTGACACGCGGAAATAACTTGAGCAATAACAGAGTTCATAGCCAAAGACATGATGCACATTAATATAGTGACCAAGCCTGGGTTTACGGCTTTGGTAAACACAATGGATAAACGGTAAAGAATGCCCTCACACAAACATTTTAGCCAAGTTGCTATCCGGGATCTATAGAAAAAAATGCAGAAACAAGAGTCGCAGCGGAGCTGAAAACAGTGGAGTTTTTTGCAACAGAAACAGATTTATTGCTTGTGTTTGTTGAAAAATACATGAGAAGAAGACGTTGAAAAATAATCACATTTTAAATCGCAATATTGAAGTAAAAAAACGCAATTAGAATATTTTCCAAAATTGTTCAGCCCTAGTAGTAGCTCACTTTTTTCCCAAGTTATTGTGCTCACAATATACACATACATTCCAACGGACGGAGGGTATTTCCAATTGCCCATCTTCACTCTAAGATGGGGGACACATTTTTTTATAATGTGAACAGTCTGCACGGTCTTGGCTAGATCTTAGTCGTGTATAAAATAAGCAGTGGGATCCTAAATATAAATGATAAACATCAAAGTTCATGCTCAATAATCCAAGTAAAAGATGAAACAAAGTTAAGTCAGGTCCTCTGGACGGTTTCATTGTGTTGAAACGTTGTGTCCTTCAACCAAAGGACTTCATCAGTCTGAGGAGCCACAACAAACTCAGTCCCACCAGCAGCACACTCACATAGTGGACCAACCAGGTTGATGTTTGGAACCATTTTGGCCATGGCTGCCTCAGCGGAGTTGACAGGGGAGAGGGTGGACCCCAGAAACCATCTTATCACCACCAAACTGGTTGACCCACTATGTGATTGTGCTGCGTGTGGGACTGAGTTTGTTGTGGTTCCTAAGATTGATGAAGTCCTTTGGCTGAAGGACGAAGCGCTGCAACAAATAATAAACCTACCAGAGGACCTGACTTAACTTTACTGGATAAACCATAAAGTTTGGTAGGTCCACAATTGGTTTTGGTTGTCAAAATTCACTTGGCCATGCTGGCTTTATGCTAGGACTGTGATTGTTTGATCAGGACATGTGACAACAGCTCACTCATTTGGTCACAAACACTCATAATACAGTAAGTCTGCAATAAAAATCTGCCTTTTTTCTCACATGTTTGATTCTCCAACTAGTTTACAAAGCCCAGTGCGTTAGTACTGTCAGAGTGAAGCACTGACGGAGGTTTTAAAACTTGCTGCCATCCAGCCACCTTCTAAACGATCATGGAGAGAATGGACGAGGTCGTCATTCAACATAAATCCATGCTGCTGGATTAAAAAGAAATGACAGAAAAAACTGAGACAGGAATAGAAAAATGTGTTGTTACTCGTTTAACAGTTGCAGACCATCTTGAAACCCTGCTATTCATTACCATAATTTTAATACTAATACTGTGAGCATTTCAACTAAAACCAAAACAGAAATGTTGGTTTGTATTAGACATGGCAAATGTTCAAGTGTGAGTCATGCCACAAGCTGAACACTTGTTGCTTTTTTACGAGTCTATTACCTCGCGGACTTAGTGGCAGTCTGCCAGAGGACATGGAGGACTCGTGAGTCCTGATTCAGTGCGAGGATTAACCTTGATGAGTCAGTAGCTAAGTAGCTCTAGTTCGTACTGTAAAAACTAAAGAAATCTCAAACAGAACAATGCTTACATATGTGGTAAACTGAAACATACTGAGCAGTGTAGAGAATAATAAAGGTAAGACATTTTACCTGTCTGTAGGCTCCTGAAGGACCTGGTAGATGCTGACTGTGAAGATTTCATTCTGAACATACTCCTGGATGAAATCCTTGTAAATCCTGAGCTCTGCTGCTGTGATGACCTCTCCCTCTGGAATACTTGAAATGTTGAATTGAAACTCTTGGAAAAGCTTCTGGAACAGAAGAGTCTGATCCTGGTCAACTATCACAAGAAGATAAAACAAGCAAGACAAAATATTTGTGATCAGTCCTGAAGAATCCAGTTTGTCCTCAGCTGACACACAAGAAAAGTTCTCAAACCTCAAAGAAAAAACTTGTATACACGTTTAAAATAACAGTCCATTTAAAGTACAATTAGATGGGAAACCAGTCAGAGGTTGCAAATATCTGTGAACATTGTTGTTGATTCAAGGTTTTCTCTGAAATGTGTTCCTCTGCCCGCAACTTGGAAACACTGTCAGAAATAGAAGGAAAAAAACTTTTCCATGAGTGGAGTGACCGATCTAAACATTCTTTAAGTCAAGTATCCCATAAATGCCAACTTGAGGGGGATAAAACCATGTTCCTGGCTTACTTTAGCTCCCTGTTTAAGCTGCACATGTGCTGACCACAAGAAAAGGCTCGTTAGGGCACAGCCCGGAAAACCACGGCAGCAAGTGCACTTAAACAAACTCACTGGCATAAAGAACAGAAAACCACACAGATTCAAATGTGCCTTTATGAGTCTGCACCCACAACACCTCTCTGATTATTTTGCAATACATCACCATCCTGTTATTTCCCCCTGATTGAAGAGGAGAAAGTGAAACAGCATTTGTTGGTGACACTCAGAGGTTTCCACCCATCCTGAGCCGGCTGAAGCTCTCCAGTACTCAGAGTTTCCAAAAAAGAAGGACAGAGAGTTCACCAGGTTACTGCATTGTTTATAACTCTAATGTGTTGTTTGTCAAGAATGATCTCTGGAAATGTTAGCGTTTCTTCTTATGTTGGGGAAACAAACAATTTCACAAATAGTTCTGCGGTCGTTGAAGTTGATGTAGTTTCTATGCCAGATCTCTAGATGGCACTGTGATTTTTGTATTTTAGGGACACACGTGCACAGACACGTCAGTCTTGAGCATGACAACAGTTTTACCCATGGTGACTATGACCGTTTGTTGGGACCAAGGACGAGGTTGGATCACTTCTACACATTGAAAAGAATGATCAGCACAAACAGCACTCTTCTATCCACCAGTGTTACTGTTGTTCTACTTATGCAAGCACAGAAAAACTATTGACTGCATCCATCAATAATTCCAGCCACCATCTTCCACTTATTCTGAAGTTGGGTCACTGGAGTAGCATCTTGAGCAGGGAGGCCCAGACATCTCTTTCCACAGCCATCTTTTCTGGGAGGACTCCAAGGCGTTCATAGGCAAACCAAAAGACGTAGTCTCTCCAGTGTGTCCTGGGTCTTCCCCGGGGTCTCCTACCAGTCAGATTTGCATGAAGCACCTCCCTAGGGAAGTGCCATGGGAGCATCCTTACCAGATGCCTGAACCACTTCAACTGACTCCTTTGGATGTGGAGGAGCAGCGGTTCTACTCCAAGTCTCTCCTGGATAACAGAACTTCTCATCCTATCTCTAAGGGACTCATTTAAATCTGTATCCGTGATCTCATTCTTTCTGTCCCTACACAGAGTTTGTGACCATAGATGAGGGTAGGAATGTAGATTGACCAATTAACAGAGCTTTGTCTTAGAGCTCAGCTCCCTCTTCACCACAACGGACCAGTACAGAGTCCGCAATACTGCAGACGCTGCACCAATCCATCTGTCAATCTCACACTCCATTCTTCTCTAACTCGTGAGGTGCTGATTCTCATCCCAGACTTTTCTACAGACAAGTCATCCATAATTTGCATGCACAATTTCAAACTTATGCCGGGCCTTTCCAAAATCCTCAACTCTGAGATCTGGATTCAAAAAGCTTTGGTGTCAGAGAAAACGACTGCTGTTGTCTTGTATATGAATGGTGCCCTGCATGCACAATGTTGTTCCACCACATACACCGCATGTGGTGCGAATGACAAATGAAGAACCTTGAATTGACTTGAAATGGCTGAAACTCATAAGAAATGCTTTGGCTTCGCTCGTAATCATCATTGTGTAAAACAGCTGAAAAGATCTGAAATATCCCTTTGTAGTGCAGGTTAGCTACCTTAACCCAACCTGCCTGCTTCCACGCACCCTGCCATGAACCTGTCGTGTTTCAGAGTCACAGTCGTTCATCTGAGCAGGCCTGGATGCTGACATCCAGAAGGGTTTTTTCAAGGCACCGCAAAGCTTACACACAAATGACTCACCGTCTTCTAAAAACACTCTTAACGACATGAAAACACACATGCCACTAGCATCGAGAGCTCGCATTCTGAACCCTGCAAGTCATTTGTTTGACCGCAATTAAATGCTGGAAGGGAACGAGGGGTGATTTTATGAAAGCAATAATTGCTTGTAAGGACTCGGTGTGTTTACGTTAGGGACCATTAGCTGCAGCGATCAGACCTCAGATATGCAAACTTCCCTCTGGGAGACATTTCAACACTACAGATTGGCCCTGACACTGCAGGGCCACACAGCCACACAGCTATCATTAACCTATAGCAATTTGATAGGAAATGTTTATTTTCCAGCAGATCGACGTGGGGGGTCAGAACACATATGATAGAAAACTCACTTTTGTGTCACCGGGACACTTCCAACGCTGTGGGGCAGGATTCAAAGAAACGTGGCTAAAACTCATCAGTCATTTTTCTCTGCATGCGTTTTCAGGTTTCACAACATTGCTTATATTTCTGAAGAAATGAATTTAAAAAAAAGAAGAATGAAAAAATGGCAATTATTATTCTGCACATGAATGCACGGTTAAGGAGTAGGTTCATGAGATTTTCCAGCATTGTAGTTTTTTTTTTTTTTAGCATTATCCTTTTAAAATCAGCTTACCAAGACAAGCGCATTTCTTCCTGCTTTTTGCTCAAAAACACAATAATTCCTCTGTTCTTCCGCTCCGTCTGTTTCGGCCTTTTTTCATCACTCGCAGCCGAAAGCAAACAATAATGATTTTGCCCACGTCTGTGTGTTCATGTGTTTATGTCTGTCTGTTGCTAAAGTATTTGATTAACTACTGGACACATTAGAATGAAACTTGCGGAGAATAATCACTGCATGCACATCTACAACTTGTTAAAATTTGGAGTACACCTATTCAAGATGGCTGCCGCAGCCAGCCGATAATAGTAAAATGCAGAAATGGATATAACTCAGTGAATTGTACAGATTTTGAGCTATGTTTTGTTGTGGGAGGAGCTTAGTCTGATCTCCAAAACATCTTCTGAGCGCGAAGAAATTGAGCAAAATCTTTTGTTAAAATGTTGTCATTACCTATTAGGAATCATCTATGTCTGTTAGTAAAATATCTCCTGAACCATTAGATGGATTTTGCTGAAACTTTTAGAAAACAATTATTAGATGTACCTATATAGGTGATTGGCGTTTGAAATCAATTTAAGGCGGCTGCTGCAGACAAGTGCGTTTAGAAAACACAAAAATTACTATAATTTGGTCTATTTCATGGACATCATGTTGAACTTTGGTGTGGTAGTAGCTGAGAGTCATTCACAACACACACATTAAGCTCTACTTGTGACACAGGAGTTTTGCTTAAAACTAGCATTAACTATTGTTAATTATACGCGTTAATTATTGACCCTGTTTGTGTTTGTTTGCAAAATAGATCACGAACCACTTAATGGATTTGACTGAAACGTTTTGGGATAATTCATTAGATGCATGTTTATAAGTGATTAACTTTTGGAGTCAACCCAACTCAACATGGCCTTCACAGCTAATCGATGTTAGCTAACACAAAACAGCTAAAACTCAAAGACACTGAGCTAAAAATGTGATGTGGCAGTAGCTGAGAGTCATTCTCAACACATGAGTGTGACTTTTATAACAGAACATGAAAGCAACAATCTGTGTGAGTCTGAATTTAAACTCTGGTTTCACGGAACGACCACCTTTTCCTTTTAGCATCATAAATTTCACTCCGAGTTCCCGGACCGAACCACAGCAGCTGCCGGTCCTTCACCTCGGACGTGTTCAAAAGGAAAAGTCCTGCTCTGTTTTAAAACAATTATCAGAAGACCACCAAGAAAAAGTCAGTCCAGCAAAATGTAGGAGCTAAAAATAACCCTCTCTGCCCACCATGAGTGGGCTTAGAGGAGAAAAAGTGCACGAGGTCTGGTTCCCCTCCTCTTCCTCTGCGTTCGAACTGTTCACATGTGAAACCACATCAATCTGGCTCTGGTTTCCAGAAACGTGTTTCCACTTCTCATTAGATAAAGCCTGTCAGGGGAACGTTCAGGACATGAGATGTTCTTCCAGTGTCCAAATGGTTTGGATTAACTCTAAAATGTGTGGACTGGAACAGTCAATATGTTCTGTGTTTGCAGATAAATCCCAGTAACCTGGAAAACAGAAAGAAAACAAAGCTTCATCTTCATCACACCACTCGTCACCTCGGTGCCGTCTCCACAGTGACGTCAGAGCTTTCAGCTCCGCGTCCTGAGCAGGACTTTGTCTTTTAAACATCAGGGACATTTGAGTTTTCCTCTGAGCGTTCAGCACACACACACACACACACACACACACACACACACACACACACACAC